AAAGTTGGAGACTCCGAAAAGTTCGAGAGCTGTTCTTATATCCTCTCAGACTTTTCGGAGGCTTTTCAAAGCTCTCCAAGCTCTCCAAGCTCTGAAAAAATATTTTACAAAACCAGTATACTAGTATACGTAATCAATCAGTAAAATGCAAAGAAACCGCTAGAAGCAGTATGCGTAGTAGTCTACGGCCAAGATACCAGAAACCGTATCAAACTCAGCACGGGGTTCGAGGTACTAAAACGATTACCAAACTAAGTCAAGGATTGACCATTACATGTTGCATTCTGCCACTGCTAAAGTGATAGAAGGGCTGCCGTTGATTCTTGACGCTTTGTGCCGATGACCTCTCAGGGCTGTGACTGCGGCATTGACCAGTGCAAAAGACAGTTGAGTGCGGATGTATGCCATGACGATAGAGAAAGGCTCGGACCTCCTATCGGCCAACATGGATGCAATCCGAGCGTAGAGATTGCCAGCTGCCTTGCCATGACCACCTGTAGTGCTGAGCACGACCGGGATGAATGATCCATGCTCTACCTCAACGACTCTTCTCTCATAACTTCTTCTCTTTTCCTTTTCGTGCTTGCGGTACACTGCCGGGATTGATGACTTCTGGTTTGAGGGGGCAAATGGGTTGAAAACCCGGACATCAAGGAATGTCCTCTCAAACCGTCCACCATACAATCCACTGACTGCGATATCAAGGCGCGCGTTGTCGTCGGTGATGGTAGATCTCAAGGGGAAGTGTTCCCCCGAGAGAGGCTGGAGATGGGGCTAAGCTCTCCAAGCTTCAGAGGTGGTTGAAACTTGGAGATTCCCGCGGTTTGGGATCAGCGCATGCGAACTAGGCTAAAAGCCACGTGTTGATCATGAGTGTACGCATTTCCCTTTTCAGATACGCACAGCGCATACTACAGTATATTCGTGGCACTCATTTGGGGCTTCATTTTGCTTGACATCTGCAAAATATCTCCGAATTCTTCGAGACCCGTTCTTGAAGAATCCCAGTTTCTTCGACTTCTCTTTTCATCTTCTCCTAGAAGCTAGAGAATTGAAGAACGCACCCTTAAGCTGTGTTCACAACTGGCGCGTGGACGCTGTACGCTTGCGGTTCATGCGCCCCCAAACGCGCGCTCAGCCTTTCACAAAAAACAGCGATCCGAGTCGTATTTGGCGCGTGCGACACCTTCGAGTACTAATTTTTTGACTCCGCCAGTCAAAGTGACTGGCATGTACGCTGATACGCGCCTGATACGCGCTGAAACTTCCAACATGTTGGAAGTTCCATTTCGGCGCGTTTCCGTACGCATGGCGCCCCAAAAGCCAGCAAAAATACGCACAAACGAGTGGTTTCACGCGTACACGCGCCAGTTGTGAACACAGCTTAAGAATAACGAAAAGGACGAAGACGAGGAAACGACAGGCACCCCGGAAGACAACTTCCGAAGCGCCTGCCCGCACACGCAACACCAAGGAAAAGGACGACGACAACGAAACGACAGGCACCCCGGAAGAAGACAACTTCCGAAGCGCCTGCCCGCTCACGCAACACCAAGGAAAAAGACAACGACGAAGAAACGACAGGCACCCCGGAAGACAACTTCCGAAGCGCCTGTCCGCACATTCAACACGTCCACACACATATACACAAACAAAACACAGGCATAACGGTGGACAACAAAGGTACAGGCGAGCGCATGGCGTGGCGAAATCTGTCGAAATGCGGGCTGTATACTAGAAACAAAAACAGGAATGTCAGTAGGCGTTGAACAGTAAAGCTGTGTTCACAACTGGCGCGTGTACGCGTGAAACCACGCGTTTGTGCGTATATTAGCTGGCTTTTGGGGCGCCATGCGTACGGAAACGCGCCGAAATGGAACTTCCAACATGTTGGAATTTTCAGCGCGTATCAGGCGCGTATCAGCGTACATGCCAGTCACTTTGACTGGCGGGGTCAAAAAATTAGTACTCGAAGGTGTCGCACGCGCTAAATACGACTCGGATTGCTGTTTTTTGTGAAAGGCTGAGCGCGCGTTTGGGGGCGCATGAACCGCAAGCGTACCGCGTCCACGCGCCAGTTGTGAACACAGCTTAAGGGAACAAGCAAACGCATGGCGAGGCGAACTCCGTCGATCTGCGAGGAAGCGACAAAGAATTATTCGTACACAAGACAATCCTCAGTTGCACATTCGCTCAGAAAAGAGTAAACGCGCGAGCAACATCATCGGGACAAACGTACTAAAAAAAACGCGGGATTCACAGAAGCTTTTTTGCGATGCGACACGCGATGCGACGCGATCTGCGATGGATGCGTGCGATGCGAACTCGCGAAATACCATTCACAGAAGAAGTCAGCGATGCGACAAAGTTTTGCTGATTTGGGTACGTCACCATGATATTCGCGCGGTTTGACACAACTTGTAAAAATTTATAGGCAACTCTTGCACCTTTGTACAACTTTGCTGTAGAAAAGGTCAAAATCGTACACCAAATCGCTTGTCGCATCGCATCGCATCACAAAAGTTGAGCCAAGCTCAACTTCTGCGATGGCCTGCGATGGCCCAGTTGCGGCAGTTGCGTGGGGTGCGACATGGCTGCGATTTGGGGTTTTCCCGGTTTCGCGTCTGTCGCATCGCGTGTCGCATCGCAAAAAAGCTTCTGTGAATCCCGCTTTAGACCCGCAAGACACAAAAAACCGCACGCGCAAATGATACAACCCGCAAGTTCAAAAATAGAAAAAAGAAGAAAAAGAAACGCACCCACAAAACAACAACAACAACGCACACACAACATGGCAAGGGAAACACAATGGCTACAAGTCGGCACAAAAAACGATTAGGACAACATTAGACAGACAATCAGGACCAGGACATCACCAAACAAACCAACGGGGGGAGTGGTCATAAACCGGACCCCGACGAGGAAACACATGACGAAGACGACGATTGGGTGGAGGGCCAGTCCAGTGACGGTACGGCGCGTGGCGGGGCATGGTCCGCATAGTAAGGCGGTGCGGTGGCAGAACGTCGGCGTCAAAGTATCGTGCGTGCATATGTGAAATCGTGAACCTAACATTAGAATCAACTCGTAAAAACTCCAACTCAATCTCCCATTGACACAAACCTCGTTTATTCAACACAATCATCCTATCCAATAAAAACAGTTCCTAAAAACAGTTCATAAAAACAGTTCATAAAAACAGTTCATAAAAACAGCTTTTTTGGATCGGACCCAGTCCGCATAACCAAGAGAGCTAGCTCCTTTGGCTGCTGTTGGAATATGCAAGCCTTCCAGATAAGGTCTAACAAGGAGCAGTGGCTATAGTTATGAAATGAACACCGGTAACCATGGAGACAGACCACACTCTCACTATAGATAAATGTTATAAATAGACCGAATAAGGAAAATGATCTGATAGCCTATGAAGAGTAAAGGAAATTGAACCAATGACAGCAAATACTCGTCCAGCACACGAGTTGTCATAGCAACACAAATAACAGCTGTGCACTAATTTTGTTGTTGGAGATTGAGATTGCCCAAGACAGTACGGAGCATCAGCAAATCGAATATTCGAATGAAATTCGAGAATCGTCACGAAAAGCACTCAATCAGTCGAAACTAGGGCTTTGTTCGACTGAAAAATGCCCGCAAACAGAAAATACTTTTCGAATACTTTTCGAATGCTCCGCGCGTGCTCTAGTACACGGCGCACTACGAGTACTCATTCTTGCGCATGTAGCTACTACTACTAGTTCTTACTAAAGTACTAGTCCGGACTTCTTGTCAATCTTGACGCTTTCCTCTCTCTCGAACTGTGAAAAGTTTTATCAAGTGTGCATTTTGTGTCAGATATGTGACGAGTTGTAATTATTCCACTCCGGATTGTGATTGTTTGCGTCTTTTCGAGCATTCATATTTGCGCGTTTTTTATCCCTTTAATTGCGCTAAGCCAAACCATTTATCACGTGCATGCAGTTCGAAGGCACGGTGTACATTCTGTGAGGGCAAGCACCACTCCAGCATCTGCGACTCACAGAGGGATATGAGCGGTGCCAGACAGAACCATGAGAGGCATGATGTTGCGCTCTTCTGTGGAGATAGTACGCAGGTTGTCTTGCTGCAAACTGCTAAGGCCACTATCTGTCGACCGGACAAGCCCAAGCAGTGCATCACTGCCCGTGTGATCCTTGACAGTGGCAGTCAACGGTCATTTGTTCGAGAAGACATCTGCACCCAATTGAAACTGCAGTCCAAGTGCCAAGAGACAGTGGTAGTACAACCATTTGGGTCCACAGGTGGAAGCGTCCCAAGTTCGTGCCGTGGTGATGGTCTGCCTGAAGCTCAGAGATGGCCAACTCACGGTCCCAATGCTCTCCGTGCCACACATCAGCCCACCAGTCCAAACACAGTACCCTAGCAAGGCTGCTGCAGCATTTCCTCAGTTCAAAGGACTTGAACTTGCCGACGACTGTGCAGGTGATGCCACAGTTGACATCCTGATTGGCGCGGACTTCTACTGGCAAGTAGTGTCTGGCAAGGTTGTCCGTGGTGATGCCGGGCCTGTTGCGCTCAGCACTAGACTGGGATGGGTGCTCTCAGGGCCCATGCCAATGTCAGTGCTACCATCACCAGCAGCTGTGAATCTCATGCATCTTCATGTGTTAACCTGTACTACACCGAGTAACACGCCCCAGCTCACGTCGACCTTAGAGAAGTTCTAGACGTTGGAGTCGATCGGCATTCTTCCCAAGGAACTGTCCGTGTACGAGCAGTTTGAGCAGCGCATACGGTTTGCCAACACCCGCTATGTGGTCGATTTGCCGTGGAAAGAGTGCCATGCAGCTCTACCTGACAACCATCGGCTAAGTGAGCGTCGGCTGCGGTCACTGCTCGAGCGCCTCAAGAAAGAGCCATTGGTATGTACAGCGTACCAAGCAGTCTTTGCCGAGCAGCTGACTTTAGGCATCATCGAGCCTGTTGCACAGTCTGACCCTAACGCCATGGGAAAGGCTCATTATCTGCCACATCATCCCGTCGTTAGGAACGACAAGAAGACCACAAAGGTCCGGGTGGTATTCGACGCATCGGCGAAGACTTGTCAGGGGCCAAGCCTGAATGAGTGTTTGTACTCAGGTCCAGCAATGACCGAAAACATTCTGGACATTATCATCAGATTCCGGCACCATCGGGTGGCAGTAGTTGGTGATATTGAGAAGGCATTTCTCATGGTCGAGCTTGCTGAGTCCGACCGCAACGCCGTCCGGTTTCTGTGGGTGGACGACCCGTTCAGCGAATCACCACAAGTGTTGACGTACCGCTTCACGAGAGTGGTTTTCGGTCTGACATGCAGTCCCTTCTTGCTGAACGCTACGCTCCGCCATCATATCAACCTGTACGCCGATGATCCCGACTTCGTAGCCTCGTTCCTTGAGAACACCTACGTTGATGATCTGATCAACGGAGCTGATGATGATGATACGGCCTATCTGCTGTACAGCAAGATGAAGAGTCGCCTGGCAGTCGGTGGATTCAATGCAAGAAAGTTCCAGTCAAACTCAACGGCTCTCATTGCGCGTATTGATGAAAATGAACGGTCGCTACAATCGCTAACACCACCAGCAGTCGAGCAAGCAGCTGAACCTGTGTCAACAGACGACCAGTCCTACGCTAAGTCTTCACTGGGAGCTGAAGAAGCTGGGTTGTTGGATAAGGTACTTGGAATTCCCTGGGACCGTCAGCAAGATGAGCTAGTAATCAACATCAGCCAAGTTTTCCAGGAAGTAGCTGATAAGCCGCTGACCAAGAGACAAGTTATTGCATTGGCGTCACAAGTCTTCGACCCTGTCGGCTTCCTCTCACCCCTCGTTCTTCCCCTGAAGAAATTCTTCCAACAGATATGCCGCATCAAGATTGCCTGGGATGAGCAGCTAACTCCATCATTGCAGGAACTGTGGTCGTCTTTACTTCAAGAGCTTCAGTCGTGCCAACCAATACGAATCCCTCGATGTTACTTTGCTGCTGTCCAGGGTGATATTCACGCCGTGGAGCTGCACGGCTTCTGTGATGCATCCGCCGATGCTTATGCTGCTGTTGTCTATCTGGCTATCCACACCGAGTCTGGGACCCATGTCCAGTTTGTCACTTCGAAGAGCAGAGTGGCTCCACTTGCATCGCAGACTATTCCTCGGCTTGAGCTGCTGTCTGCGCTCGTCCTCGCCCGTCTGATTGTCCGTGTTCGCAAGGCACTGGCACGTTACGTCTCTGTCAGTCGAATCGCATGCTGGACAGATTCCATGATCGCTCTACACTGGATCCGTGGGGACACGCGAGAGTGGAAGACCTTTGTACAGAACAGAGTGGTGGAAGTGCGATCCCTTGTACCCAGCTCAGCGTGGTCGCACTGCCCAGGAACGCTGAACCCAGCCGATCTACCCTCGCGGGGAGTCCAGCCATCCAGCTTCGACGCGAAGCTGTGGCTCAATGGTCCTCCTTGGCTGGCTGAAAAGGAGCTGGTAGCAACTGAGAGTCGGGACGATGATGTGGTGATACAAGAAGCCCATCAGGAGTTGAAGCGGCAGCCAACAACAGCCACACTTGCGACCACCACAGCCAGTCACCCCTCAATTCATCAAATCATTGACATCGAACGCTTCAGCACATTCAGTCGACTGGTCCGAGTGACAGCGTATGTCCGGAAGTTCGTCACCATCTTGCAGCTGCGTCGAACCAACACAGCATGCCAGCCTGTCATCTCTGCAGTTGATCTGAAGGAGGCAGAGGCACTGTGGATTCGTACTTGCCAAGCACAGTTAGTTGCTGATTCCAACTTTGAGAAGTTGTCACACGAGTTTGGTATCTTCGTCGACGATCAAGGTATTCGAAGATGCGGGGGGAGATTGCGCAATGCCGCCCTCACCACAGCGCAGAAACATCCAGCACTTTTGCCACGCGACCATCCAATCACGGCCATGATCGTGAGACGCTGTCATGCTGCCGTCCTGCACAGCGGTGTCAACGAGACACTCACGGAGCTCCGGTCTACCTACTGGATTGTCAGAGGCCGCCAGTTTGTGCGCACCATCGTACGTGGCTGTCAGCACTGCAAGAGGGTGAACACGAAGCCGTACGCTGCATCAACCAGTGCCCAGCTGCCTTCTGAGCGCGTAAGTGGCGAGGAGGCATTCCGGAACGTGGGTGTTGACTTTGCTGGCCCTCTGTATGTCAATGAAGGCGGCAGCAAAGTCAAGGCATATGTAGCTCTGTTCACCTGCGCTGTGAGTCGTGCTGTCCACCTGGAGCTGGTCAGTGACCTGACAACGGAAGCCTTCATGCGATGCTTTCGGCGATTTGTGGCACGTCGTGGGTTCCCGTGTTTTGTCATCAGTGACCACGGCAAGACGTTCGAGGCAGCAGCGCGTGAGCTGTGCAGTATCGCCCAATCTGCTGAATGTCAGCAGTTCTCCGCTGAACACCACATTCAGTGGCAGTTCAATGTGGAGAAGGCCCCTTGGTGGGGAGGCTTCTTCGAGCGACTTGTGCAAAGCGTCAAGCGTTGCCTCCGCAAAGTGTTGGGCAATGCATATGTGTCTGGTGAGGAGCTGGTGACGGTGCTGGCAGAGGTCGAATGTACCCTCAACTCCAGGCCATTGACCTTCCTCTCTACGGAAGAATGGACGGAGCCGTTGACGCCATCGCATCTGCTACTCGGCCGTCGACTTAGGTCCATGCCAGATGCGGAGCATATCCCACGTGCAGCCACAGCTGAAGTCGTACGAGAGCGAGCGGAGCACCTACAACAACTCATACGACATAGCTGGACTCGTTGGCGTCGTGAGTACCTGCTGGAACTAAGGAATGCCCACCGCCAACAATTCAATGCCAACGCCACACCTATTCGCGTCGGGGATGTGGTGCTCATCGAAGACGAGAACGCAAAGCGCCAACAGTGGCCTCTTGGCCTAGTAGTCGAGTTAATCCCGGGTCATGATGGCATTGCTCGTGCAGCGAAGGTCAAAACCGCAACACCGAAGAAAGGTAGCGTTACGCACCTGAAGAGGCCCATCCAGCGTCTCTACCCACTCGAAGTCTGTGCCGAGGAAGCAGTCACGGTTCCGAATCGTCAAGCACCTGAGAATGAGCCATTGCAATCCGTCAGGCCACAGCGAGCGGCGGCAGTACAAGCGGCTGCGTTGCCGATGCAGTTAAGAAACCGTGGACTAATTTGAAGTCAGAATAATTATGAGTTACCCCACAGGTCTGATTGACCACCGCTATGAGCTTATGCAGCTATCATTCAATGCTCATAATGTTCTGGACATGTAATTATTTATTGAACGTGTTGTATCGCGTTGAGTAATCTGTTAATTATAATGTTATTAGACTTGTGGTCAATCGGGGGGAGTGTCAGATATGTGACGAGTTGTAATTATTCCACTCCGGATTGTGATTGTTTGCGTCTTTTCGAGCATTCATATTTGCGCGTTTTTTATCCCTTTTATTTGTGGGTGCAGCCAAACGGTTTTGGCCTGGTTCTTTTCCCTTTGACTGGAGAGTCCAGTTGTTGTGTTTCCTGTCACCACATTGTGACAATGTCGTAGTAATAAATTATATTCTAATACAGTCTTCTATGGTCGTGGGTCGATCGTCTTCGGACGAATATTCTGACATATCAAACATTTTGTTTCATTTCAAGTATCCTGGAATCATGGCTTTGTCACCAACTACTAGCCCCGGTATGCCTCCTGCTCCCAGTACTGCAGTAGCCCTGCTGGCGTTGTCTCGGCATCTGCGTCTATGGTGAGTTCCCCGCAGGGAGAGGGCAACTCAAAGTGTGCCAAATATTTGAGGGTCGACCTTACCATGGATCTCATTCTGCTGAGGCAGTGTAGGGCCCACCCTCACCTATTCGTCCGCGGGTCTCCTGATATGCAAGGGTTAGCGGAGGAGCTCGGCCGAGATCCGCCTTTTCAAGGGGTCTCCAAGAGAGATCCTATCGTCAATAGCCTGAATCGGATGAAGCATCCGCCGCTTCGCGTCATCCCCAAAGGCAATGAGAAACAACAGCAACTCCGTTCATTGCACATCTCAAAATCCCAGTCCTCAACTGCTCAAGCTAAAAAAAACTCGATTCGAAAATACTGGACTGCGCTACATGCTGAACCTCTTTTTCATTCGAATTTTCTCTCTGATTTTCTTTTTGCCATTCGAATAATCAAATCGAAAATTCGATTTGCTGATGCTCCGTAGTATGACCAACTGTGAATACAGTTCATGCCCACATGTGAACTTGTGTGGTTCTCTTGTAGTAAGCTGCCACATGTGTACTTGCACGTGTTGTGTACATGTGTGTGTGTGTGTGTATCTATGGGACTGCGTTCTCCTATTCTCTCTCCGGTGCCTTCGAGGCCCACGCAACCCTTGTGGCAGTGACTCGACAGCACAGGAGTGTGCGCGCGTGCATGTGTATATGTGGGTGTGTGTGTGTGTGTGTGCGCGCGTGCGCGTGTGCATGCGCATGTGTGGGTGTGCGCGCGTGCATGCAGATGTGTGTGTGGGGGTGTGCGCACGCTGATGCTCAGCTCTCCAGAATTATGTCCGTGTGCGTAGCCAGTGTATGGTGGCAACATAGCCTTCCTTCATGTATATGTGTATGCGCATACTATTTGGGATGCTTTACTGTTTTTGGTGGGATCCAGTTACATAGTTTTCTGTTCAATTATTTATGTTTATACAGCTGCTGTATTTGTAGTGCAACTTTATGTTTTCTGCTGGTCAATTTGTCGTCTTGATGGTGTTCTAATACTGATATACATAGAAAATATTACCCTCAGAAAGTGTGCTCGTTGTGAAGTTGTCCTTCTTTGGGCTCAAACCATTGCTCGTGTATAGGTAGATACATATCAGTGGGTTCGATTGGTGGCGAGAGGTCAACCTAAATTGTTTGGGGCGGAATTCGGCAAGAAATCCACGCGGAGTACTTTTTGACGACGAGTTGCGTCGGTCTTGAAAACTCTGGCGAGAAAGCCAGGAAAATGATGTCGCTTGGAGCTTTCCGCGAAACTTAGGGCAGCTAATGCCCGCACCTTCCCAAACATTGCCTCGGAACAAGACGATACCACCAGGGAAGCTCTTGTGAGCAAGGGATAAAATAGTCTTTTTTTGGCGATATTGAGCTGAGTTTCAAATTTCCCGGGCCTGGGGTCGGATTTGGAAAATAAAAGTGCAACTTCTACGTAGGGCTCTTTTTCGGTGCTGGCGCTTCGCCTGTTTATGACCAATAAAAACTAATTATAAAAACCTCGGCCTCGGGGGACCTCGGTTTTTATAATAGTTTTTATTGGTCATAAACCCTCGGCCTCGTCATTTATTGTATACTTATTATTATCACATGGCACGTGATTGTTGCCCGTACTCCAGCGAATCAGTACCTTTCGCGCCGCGGGCAATACTATGCGATATTGCCTGCAAAAAATAGTTTATTTGCCCGCAAACAAATAGTTTATTTCAGTGATCGCGTGACTACGCGTACACGACGACTCTGTAGACTGTACGACTCGACGACGAGTCGCAGTGTAGCATTGAGACGAAGATGGAATTCTTTTTGGAGATGGACGTCCCGCCAATGGATATGGCCTCGGTTGTCTGCCGTGTGGTGCTTGCAGGGATCATTTGTTCAGTCATGTTGGCAGCGTGACCGTCGGTAAGCTTGAGGATAAGATTCAGTTCTGCTCGATGTTCTACTAACTTCCTGATACACATGTAAACATGAAGAAACTCTTTGTGGTAGCACTCTTAAATTTTCAACTGAAATTATGATTCTGCTGTGTTTTATTGTGGTTGCCATGTCTATTGCAATGACGATGGCGTGTCGGCCTGTAACAGACTTTTTGTTAGGGTGTAGGAGAAATATCTTCATATGTCCTGTTTTGATAATGATAGCACATCAATATACATTGTGGTCATACAGGTCGTCCCCCGTTAATACGAGTCCGGTTAGTACATAAGTATGATTTACTGCACGAGTACAAACGACTACAAGGGCAATACCGGCTGATACATGACCGAATGGCGCCAGCCGTGAGGTCATGTATCAAGCCGGTATTGGCCGTGTACGAGTGCGTACGAGGCGTAGTAAATCATTTATTGCATGCTTCACTCAAACATTCCAGAAAATGGAGAGAAACCTTTCCGACTTTCTCAGTCTCCCGACACACTTGTTCAGCGGTAAACGTCGTTTGTGGATTTGAAATTCTCTATTTCTTTACGATATCGATGGTGTTGTTGTTCGTGATTGAGCACTGCGTGTAGGAACTGAAACTGTGATGGGCTCCACGACTTCGTCTCGAACGCTTTCAGTTCGTCAAGTAGTTCGTCGGCTGCTCATCAACGCATCGATATCGATGTCAAGGTTGCATTCACCTGCTGAGGCGGCTGGTTCAGGTGGCTGGAAAAAGTAAGTTATTGTCCGCTCGGTTACATGCGCGCGCGCGTGTGGTCTGTCATTCTCGTGCTTTGTAGTTTGTAGTCAGATCAAGTTGCTGTTGTGTGTTTCAAATTTGATGGGATGATCCTTGGTCCATGACTGTAACAGGTTTAATCAAACTTGAAAAGTAAGAGAGCCTGGTTGAGCGTGCCTCGACCAGTTATATGCAAAATGTGATAGTATACATGTGGCAATGGCGCCAATGAAGGTGCTAATAGACAGGCGTAAGACGCATGAGGTGCGAGGGAGTGTAAAGTTATAGAGAACAGGGGAAAACTGTTACATCATCCCCCTCCTATGGAGAGGAAGGAGCTTATAACCCAAATGCTCAAGTGGAATAGAGTACAATAAGCGCAAACACGTGCGAGACGAAAAAAGGCTTCGCACTGAAGTAACACAATAAGACGACTGAAACTCCATGCAAATAAAGTGTAATAAGCTCAACAAATGTGTAAGGTGAAACTAGAAGTTCAACTGAAAAACTCAGCGGGCAGAAGCCAAGGTTTTGTACTTCTGAAGTGGGACAATGTCATTACCAGATTCATCCAACAAATAATGTTCAGGCTCCCAAGTGGCATCAGAGTAGCCTTGCCACTTGACTAGGTACTGAAGCTGATTCTGCCGGCGGCGGTGACTGAGAATGTTCTCCACCACATAGCGGGCATGACCATCAAGGTCCGTGATAGGCGGAGGCGTAGGCTGTCTCCTATTAGGAATAGCGTTCTTCTCGTAGGCACGGAGTGCCGACACATTAAATACCGGGTGACAGCGGCTGGTATGAGGCAACTTGAGCTTGTAGGCATTCGGGCCGACCACATGGGTTATAGGAAAGGGGCCAAACCACTTGGGGCGTAATTTATGGGATGGTCGGTCCCGAGCTTCAGGAGTCAGGAGGAAATCCCGGTAGACCATTACCAAATCTCCCACCTTCAGCTTTCCCTCGACCCTTGTCCGATCTGCATAGAAGGCCTGACGAGCTTGAGCTGCCACTAGCGCATCTTGTGAGATCTTGACCGCGTCTTGTCTTGCTTGCAACCAATCAGCTGAATCTCTGCCTCCCTGAATAGGGTTGAGGAAGTCGGGTGGCGCTCTGGGATTTAGACCGTAATTTAAGAAGAACGGTGTGTTTCCTGTAGATGATTGAGTAGCGCTGTTGATAGAAAACTCACAGAGAGGTAGGAGCATATCCCAGTTATCTTGTTTATGATTTACAAAAGCCCTCAGCACATCCTCTACTATTCTGTTTACTCGTTCAGTTAGGCCATCTGTCTGAGGGTGATTGGCAGTACTAAATGCTAGTTTCGTTCCTAAGCGATCAAACAATTCCTGAAAGAATGCTGCCGTAAATCTTGGATCACGATCACATACAATACTAGAACTCAAACCATGAAGTCGAAATACATGTTGAATATACAGATCAGCACTTCCTTTAGCGTCAATAGTAGAGGAAGTAGGTGCTAAATGTACACACTTTGTCAAGCGGTCTACAAATACATATATAGCATCATGACCTGTATCGGTCCTAGGCAAACCCATGATAAAATCCATCGAGATATCCGCCCACGGCTGACTGGGCACTGGTAAATTCTGCAAGAGACCAGTTTTTAGCTGGCCGCCTTTAACTCGTTGGCAGACGTCACATGACTTGACAAACGCCTTTACATCCAGTCCCATTCTGGGCCAATAGAAATATCTAGCGAGTCTGAAATAGGTGCGATCTCGACCGGGATGCCCCGCAGTCAC